CCTTCCGCTTCAGCTTTCCAAGTAGCTGGAGCTACAGGCGCACACCACCTCATCCAGCTAATTTTTAAAAATTTATCGTAGAGACAAGATCTTTCCATGTTGCACAGGCTGGTCTCAAACTCGTGGGCTCAGGCAATCCCCTTGCCTCAGCCTTCCAAAGTCCCGGGATTACAGGTGTGAACCACTACACCTGGCATATTTCAGAGTTTTAAAATAAAAAACAGAATCATAGATTAGAAACTTCCCTTGGATTTTATAGATGCCTATGACAGCGTCCAGAGAGGGGGAGGTCAGCTGGGAGGCAGGGCTGAGGCTGAGACTCGGCCCCTTTCCTGGGGCTGTAAGTCAATGACCAGACACTTCTACTACCCCCTCTTTTTGTGCCTGGAGGGGGCCCACAGCCCACCAGGGATCAGGCCAGGCCTGTAGCTGACCAGGGAAGGGCCCTGCTGGGCCTTGGGAGTCTGACTCTCCTCAGTTCCCAAGGTCCATTCTATCAGCGGCCAACCTGCCCCGTTTCCTACTGAATTTTACTCAACCTCTACTGGACGTGGCCAGCCTTAGGTTAACCGGGTGGAGTTATTAACCAGGAATGGATCATTCCACCCACTTCCCCGCCGGGCCTTCCGGCTGCCCATACCCGGCCAACACCGCTGTCTTGGCACAGGAGGGCTTCCTGGAGGTGGCGGCGGGAACACCTGGTCCTTGTTCCTCCGCACTTTCCAGGGTGGATGCAGGAACACCAGGTCAGAGGACCCTTTGCCCTCTCGAGTCCCGGGGACTGAATGACGTCGCCGGGTACCTTAGGACCCCGCCCCTTCCTTCCTCCGTGCCCCTGGGGGGGGACGCCACTGGGGGGCGAGGCGTGGCCCAAAGAGAGGGCCGCACAAGCCGCCGACGCGCACGCGCCGGGGACCCGCCAGCCGCTTCGGAAATGGCGACCGCGCGCGAGTCCTCCATCAGCGCCCGCCTCCAGGCCTGGCCCACCTCCGAAGGCCCCGCCCCCAGGGCCTGTCCCGCCACTTCCAGGCCCCGCCCCCGGCTCGATCCCCG